GGGGGGGGGGGGGGGGGGGGGGGAGGAGGTGTTATCCAAAATATAACGAAAAAAAAAACAGTCGGATTTCCAAAAAAAGTATTTTACCATAGCGTGTGCTCGAGGATCCCGACCGTACTAGAATTGAAAAATAAAAAAATAAAATAAAGAAAAAGATTAAAAAAAAGTATCATATCGACTTCACGTTCGATTTACCAAACGCGCTTTACCATAATATCGTATAAGTACCTTGAATGTCGTGCTTCGCATACAGGAAATCCCACCATCCTCCTCAGTGATATTCTCAATACGATTGCGAATTGTATCTTTAAAGGAAATGTCACTGAATTTTCTCAAAACGATCACGAGCTGATAAAGCCGAATGCAGTTCTTAAGCGTGCGTAATGTAATTTCTTCTTTTATTTACCTCCGTATCCAATAGCACGTCTCGCACGAATCGAAGTTCACAAAAAACTTGTATCGTATAGATGAAATTTATAAAATTATTATCAGACCCATCTTCCGTCCACTGTGACGACTAATCACGATCCAGGCACGAGGCAATAATCCAAAATGCTGTACACGTGCACTTTGTTATTCTCCCCCCTCGAAAATTCGTCATGATTTAAAAAAAAGAATTCCTTTGCGAATTCCTCAAGGAATCGCGAAGCAGCCGTCGCCGTGACGTAACGCGCACTATCGCTCCTTCCCTGTCAACCGAGTCCCCCTAAAGATTGACAGTGCCGTATCAAGTCCCAGGACCATGTTTGGCAACACAGCCATGATTAAATTCTACGAGGTTGCTCCTGGGCGAGGATAAGCCTCTCGAGGCTCGATGATTCCGTCCGGGTGAAAATAATCCAGAGCTCTCCGGACTTGACCGAAGGGATCAGGCTGGACCACGTGAAATCATTATCTCGGCGGAATCCTATATCGACCTGGAGGATTTCATGTCCTCGTCGAGCTTCGAGTTTGTTAAGCGTCCGATTATATTCGAATCTGCCAGTAGATTTCCATTGTTCGCACCGCCAACACGTAATACTGCACACGCCAAGAACTCTGACACATAACCTGTCGAAACCCGCACACGCGACGGTATCGTATCGGCACGCACAGCACTGGAGAGTACAAAGGTATTACTGAATTTCGAATAAAAGCAGCTCCTGCACGAGCTGCTTGCTCATCGCGGTATACACGAGGTTCTCAGTCGAAGCATTCGGTACGTAACAGGAGCAATAGGAGGCAGAGGAGTTGCGATGTGGGTTGAACGCGCCGGGTTACTATGGAATGTAGAAGCGACCAGCCAGCCTGCCAGACAGCCAGGGAATCAGGTAGGGCGATAGGCAGACTTTTAGGTAAATAGAGATTGAGGCAGCTGTGTTAGGTTGTCAGGTAGGTAGACGAGGAGCAGTCAGGCAGGCAGGCAGGAGCACGTTTGTACGGGCTCGTTCCCTCCTTCCTCCCGACGAGCCCTCCTTGGAGGTGGACACGCTGCTGGAGGGACTGGGTTGAATAATAGGGAGAGAGTAAAGCTGCTGGTGGTGCTGGCGGTAGTGCTGGCGGTGGAAGAGAGAGTGCTCCGAAGCGCGTTGCCGGGAACGAGGGATGCTGGAGCGCGGCGGCATTGCCCATTGCCGCCGGGACGCTTGAGCGCAGTGCGTCTTCGTACCGCTTCGATCCGAGGTGGCGCTTACCCTCTTTTTCAAAGCGAAGCGCCGTACGCGAACGAGTCGATCTTCTAGAATCTCCCGTGCTCGAAGAGGCCAAATCTTACCTTCGACGTTACTTCATTTTTTTATACAGCACCAGATCACTGGCCATTTATTGCCTACGATTTTATGCAAAAGTTTTTATATTTACATTTTATTTCAATTCAATTTTATTCCTTGCCTTTATATAGAACGCCAGCTATACCTACTGTAACTTTCCATATAATCTTTCATTTGCCCAAGTTAGATTCTATTCTCTAGCCCAGGCCTGATTTTCTATGTGATTTCTTATCGATTGGTAGGTCTCTACCCTTTTCGAGATAAAGGACGCCCGATGTCGGTTAACTGTCTCGAAATTCGTCGTAAGTCTAAAGCCACCATTATCAATGGTATATGACGGGTATAACCCTGGCAGATAGCTGCGAATGATATAGGATCCCAAGAGAGGCCAAGTTCCATAGTAGTCTATTATACACTGGGTACAGTAACTAGATTCACGACGTCTGGTATATATTTACTCTTAATACCGACTATAATACTTGGCTCTACGTTCAATCTATTTTACTAATACTTAGTCGAGTTAACGAAACGTTCTTTTTTCAAATATGATCTACACGTATGCATGAACAATCATAAAAATTCATCTTGCTCGATGAACCATGAAATTTAGCCAATGTATATCCCACGTTTGGCAATTGATAAAGAAAAACGAGATATTTGGTAATTCGCTTTCTGCCGATAAATAATATAAGAATGTTAATCTACCGCTGGCGCCACGTCAAATAATTCCAGTCTGTATAAGCAGTCGAGAGATTTCCACGTCTGAGCACAGCCGATGGTAGTAAACAGTATACCTATAGCGGTCTGTTCGCCCAAGATCGCACGGAACTCTGGTAGAAGGATTTGATTGCTACCACTCGACACGCTATAGTCTACTTGGTATATCTATATTCACAAGGGAAGACTCCTTTTTTCCGAGAAGCTCCAGAGACAGAAAGTTCTTTTCTCGTTGCACGATAAAGTTCCACCCTAAGGAAAACAAAGTGATCCAAGAAATCGCAGCACGCGACTCTTTTCAGTCTCAAACTTCATCACGAAAGTGTCAGCTGAGTATATTATTAAACCTCCCGCTTCCCCATTATACATGAAATATAAATAATTCCCATCTAAATGTTCGTATCTCCTCGTAGTAGCACGTGCGTCGCTATATTTATACACTATTTCATTTACTTGACAATTCAAATTCGTCCCTATGAATCAGCAGGTATACATTGACATTTTTTTTTTTCGAATAATTTCCATACCCCAAGGCTACAATGTGCTCATAAGCCCGAATGACGTCAGAGGGGTTTCTACATAGGACACGGCGCGCGCGCATAAAGGTACATAGTCGGTATATAAAGCCACACAGATCTAAGCAGAGCTCAAAGCTCTGATATCAGTAAATATTCTTTCTCGAAGTTTCTAGAAGCGGAACAAATTTAAGGTTAGAATTCCTAGTGGACATTTCGATGCTGCTTACACTCAAGGCACATATATTTTTTGTGTGTGGTATATACAGTTATAAAATTAAGAGAACGCAATGCAAAATATACATGCTTGATCGTTATTCTTTTGATTTATCTCAAATTATTTGCTTTTTGCAAAATTTATCTTTTTTTCCATGGTTATGCTCGTAAATTTTTTATTTTCTAATCAAATCATAGACAGTTTACGTAATGGCCAATTATTGGCTGATACACGTTGCTGATAGACAATGACATTTATAAGGGTACTATACGGAGTATCCAATATAAGGTACACAACTCTGATGGCCGGATGACGGGGTGACGTATCACGTGCATAGATCGCAGGAAGTCGAGGATGGTCTCTTTTCTTCCCTCGTAGGAGTTTCCGGTTCGCCCGACCCTTCCGCCTGTGTAAAAAGAGTACGAGTTTTGACCTCATTAGTATACCGACTCGCATAAGGGATATAAAAAACGGCAGGAAATTATACAGTGTAAACCAATTAACCGCTATAACATTGCAATACAAAATTCTGTAGACGTCGAAAGTATTAGTTGGAATTATTGGCAAAATTTTGAATTGAAATTGAAAAATTTTCAGACAAACCTTGGAATAAAAAAAAAACAATGCAAACGATAAAAAGACTGTATCGAGATCCCCTTGTACATCTATATATGTAATGTACAATGTATTTAGCAATTTCCAGTATTTGTCTCTTTCCAGTAGTTTGTAATAGGCGTTCAAGAGCAAAGTGTTGGAATTTTATACTTTAAACCCGTCTAAGGCTCAATCTGTATCGCCCTATAGAACCGGAGCATCCTCAATTTAGTCTCATAGCAGTTACCAGGCGACGAGGGTGAGCTGGAAATCAATTTGTATCGTTTCGGAGGGGCGTGGTTCGCCAGTCGTCTGTTTGTAATGCGTGAAGCCCAACGGCAATGATATTTGAAAAGATACGTAAAGCGATTCTCAAGATATTCGCTGCAAGCATGGCAATGCTTTCTATACGTGCATTCTCTTTTCAATTTCCTCCTCCTAATACACTGGCAGGATATTTCGAATGAAATCATTTGCAGAAACGATACCGAGGAATTTCAAATTTTTCAACTTTCAATCTAACCTAACCTAACTTAACCGAACCTACAAGCACTCTTGTCTTAGAATCGAGACAAAGGGAAAGAATGAAGCGAAGGAATGAAATGTCCGGAGAAGATAGACAAAATTTTCGATACGTTGACATTTTTTCCCGTTTTTTATATTCCAAGTAATAGCTGCGGTCAGTCATAGTTAAAAACAGAAATTGGAAAAAGTAGGAGGTACTTACCCGATTAGATCTCAGGGCACGTCGTGTCTTTAGGAACTCGTAGCGCTGTTTTTCGGGAAACGACATACATTCGGGTCGTGGAAATGTGTGTCCCGGCGATTCTCTCAGTCCCAGGAAAAGCCAAACGGTAAGTACAAATGGCGCTGCGAGAACCGGAAGTCCCCACTGTGAATTAGAACTTGTGTTCTTTCATACCGGACTATGCACCTATCGACATAGCATAAGTATTTTCTGTATGGCGTCCTAACGTTCTATAATATTTTGTGCCAAACGAGCATTTCACTCAAAAGTAGAAAAGTATCTATAAGTATCAATATATACCGTAACGACGCTTTCCCGGCGTAGTTTACAAATAAATCACAGTGATTGATCCAAACGAAAGATATAGCAAATTTTGTCCAAATTTGACCCTGGCCAGCTCTTAGGCGGCGGGGTCGTGAATCATAAAACAAAAGATAATGTATTAGCAATCCTCGTACCCGTAGCTGTTAAGAAAGCAGAGGGTGACGCGTAAGAATACGTTGAAGAAAAAGGTCGGTTGATCTCGTGATCGAAAAAATAGCCAAATTAATCCTGAGCGTCATTCGCCGTCGTCCAGCTACTCCTAATATTCACAGGAACACACTATCGTGGATTACAGGTTCTTCAAACGATTACGGTACGATAAACGATAGAAAACAATAGAAAACGGTACTAAGCAGATAACACGTCTGTCTATCCCTGAGACGTGAGCGACGCCAGGAATTTTCAAAATCGGGAACCTTTCCGAGAGACACGCTGTATATGTGCCTAGCCCAATTGGATTCGCGTACACATAGGCGTCGCCAGCGCGTTCTCGATCTTCAATTCTTTCGACGATCTTGATAAAGTAGATTTTGATAGTCATTACATTTTTTACATCACCCTCTCGGATCTTAATCGACTCTAAAAAAAAAAAGAAACGCGTTCTCACCAGGGAAATAAATAACAATTTCTATTTTAAGATCAGCCCAACGCCACGCGAAACGTTACGTAATCCATTGGGCCTACGACATAGTCGAAATTTTCCACGTAATAGCACATAACATAGGAAGGCTTTCACTGAAATACTGAATTCAATCTGAAATTGAAAATAAGAAAAGTTTGAGATTTCGAATGAATCGATGCTCGATTCAATTCGTCGACTATACCCATTTTCACTGTCTAGATACGTTCAGTTCTCATTGATAATGAAGCTCTCGATTGACGGGTAATGCAACTTTAGATTTATTCTAAAATTGACTTCTCGTGAAAAATATATCTTTACCTTTGCAGCGATGGGGGCTAAAACAAACTGAAGAACAGGACAAAATAGAACAGCAATCAGAGTGGCAACGACCGTCTGTCTATTCAAAACGAGGAAAGTTCCACCCATGGCAGATCCTGTCAATACACCATTAAATCCCCAGATGCCATCGTAGACTGTTTGTTGAGGAACACCAAGCAGCAATCCTGCATCGAAAATAATGTCCAAAGAAAATTATATTTAAAAGAAACACGAAAATATCTTCAAAAATTCCGTAATAGAGAAAAAAATATGAATAAATTCCCCAAAAAAAAATAAAAATCCAACTCCAGTAATCGGAAACCAAGTGTTCCAGCGACTCGATTAATCTCAGTCCCCTTTTCTGTGAACTAGTTTTTCAGCAACATTTGTCTCATTGTCAAACCTTTCTTGAATCAATTGATCAGCCACGATAGCTGCTCTCGCAAGCCTCCAAAAAGCCTGACAATTTCGTAACACACTGCTTTTAACCGTCCGCATGTCTGATGGAAAATTGTGTCATTGTGTACAATTGGTGAGCTTTGTGTGCGTTACTTAGCTTTGCAAAATTATTGCCATACACAGCTACTGGTGGGTTTGACAGCACCTACCGGGCATGCGAAGAGTTAAAGAAAAACTGATTGACAGTTACCGAGCAGACATCCAGCCGAAGCTCCAATAAACGACAGTGCTGCCATCGCTGGTGAGTAAATCAAAAGTGCAAGGTATATAACCGATCCAGCAGCGACATCGTTCAATGCGAATACCTGAGACGCCGAAGTGACAGCTCCTTGTAAAACCTAAATTCAAATAAACTTATGTTTTTTTCCTTAAGGCGATAACAATTAAGTATACGCGCTCTTACCATTCCCCAGTTCAGGTTGACAACAGTGCCGTTCTCGACAATGTGGCTCGCATATTCCATTGTGGCGTCACTTGTTGCATTGTCCTGGAAAGGCGAACATGCAGTATCGAATGGTAACTGGCACAATGGCTGCCGAATTGAACAGTTTATTTTAGACGTTCTACACTTGGTGAGTTTCTACATGTATTATATTTTCGCACCGCCCTTTCTCGTACCGGCATCGTTTTATTTTATACCTGATCTGCTTTTTTTCCTTCCTATATTCTCTATCAAGATGTAGATATATGCACTGTATATACATACATACATAAATAGTGGGTTGCGGGTACGCCTTATTGAAAAGTTATTCATACTTTCCTATGTAAATATATATAGGTATAAAATAAGGCATCCGATTCATTGAGATGGTAGCATCGAGTTCGTTGGCTAGTAATAAATCTGGCATTCCGCACGGCCATATTTCACCATAGACCGTGCGGGGTGGTAAACTAATACTGTCGGCAATATGACAGCGCAGGTTACGAATCGCCTCTCAAATTCCGTTTGAAAGATATACCAAGGTTTGCTTGGTACACTCATTGAAAGTGAATGAATTGGCTGGACGTGGAGGGACAAAATTTCTTGCATTTCTGTACTCTGCCTTACCAAGCTATACCGAAGGCTCGCCTGTATAACCTCAATATTCTTTACTTCACCCGTCCGTGGGTTATAGCAAAATACTTCACTCAAATTTTATATTTTTTTGTTGTCGGGCATGATACCGTGATTATGGAGAGATCATAGAATTTATAAAAAAATACAGAAATATCGGTATAAAATATTTCATATACTTTTACAAATGAAAAGTTCGCGATGCAATTTCCACATTTGCTACTGAGAATTCGTGTACCCGACTATTATCAAAGATTAATGATACTCTCAAGGTAGACCTCGATTTCGATTTCGTTGATTAATTATATGAAAAAAAAGCGTTCGGTATAAAAGTTTGAAAAATTATTCCCTCTGATCTACATACGTGGCTTACGGCGTGATACAATTTTTCAACGTCACCCAATCCTGCCAAGCGTAAGATACGTCTAACCTAAAAGAAAAATACTTAGTCACTCACAGTCAAGTTGCGAGTGGAAATCGCACTGTTCACTTTCGGTGAATGATCGTTCAACGTCAACACAAATAGCAATAAGAACTCAACCACCACAACTGGCCAAGTCAAACATGGAAATCTTCCGTTTCCAATGGACCGGGCCAAGTAAACACTGAAAGTCGAATGTACGGACATGTGAGTTTGTAAGAAAAGTGAGCTTGCAACAGAAGAGAAGAGGCTCTTTGTGAATCTCACCTGAATACCGTGCCGAGAAAAATAAGGAACAATGGAAAAGGATCAAAGGGGTCGTAGGGCTTTGGAATTAAATTGTAAGTCAAAGCTCCAACTAGAACCGGATTGTGAACTGTCAGTCCGTTACCAATTGTCGCCTGTTGCTCATTAGTCAACTGAAAGACAAAACAAAAATGAAAACGCAGGGAAGGTCGTATTTTAAGAAAAAAGAAAAGGGTAACGAATTCAGACGCAAGAGGAAGTTAGAGCGACAGCATTGTAACGTAAGAAGGAGATGACTAGCGGAGAAATCTTCCGCATTGCGGCGGTGCTTTAGTTCCATGAATAATAGGCGAAGTAAAATTTCACATTAGGTCTGTTCTCGTTGCTCACACTTTTCGCACCTTTCAAAAAGTGCAGATTGCAAAAGTGCAAAAGTGCAGGCACTTTTTGAAACGTACAGAAAGTGTTGGTAACGAGAACATACCTATTGACTTACCATCGACACCAAAAGACCCAAAAGGCCCGTTCCCACGCTCAGCAACAGCATACTGGGTGCTGCAGCGGCAAGGCTTCCAACTATCAACAATCCGCTAATTGGGTTGTTAGCGAATACAACCTGCAAAGTCAAAGTACTACCAGTAATTAAAAGAGCTTACCGCGTTACGATTTTAAAGTTAGAACGATAAAGGAAGCCATTCGGACATTATTACTCTGTAGGTACTGTAGACCAACCTATAGTAGGTAGACACTTTGTGCTGGTAGTACATACAGTCGAAAGCTTATACAGTTCATTCCACCTCGAGTGACATAGTCTTTTGTGTTGTTCTTATATATATACATATATCATGTGAAAACGAAAGACCGGCATTCTTCGATGCTGCAATTTCGCCATATATGTCACTTGCAAATATATTAGATTCTGCTGGACGTTTTTGAGGACAAATCAAATGAATTGGGCGAATATCAGTTTAATCCTAGAATGTCCATAATTTTTTTTTATACGTTGATACCTTTTAAGAATATAATAGACCTTACACTATTTTTAGCTGCTATTTTGCTTGTGAGTATTAAATTTTTTAAAATTTTTATATCAAAATCTGACTGAAATATCAGTGAAAAATTAAAATGCGTGAAAAATGCAGAGACGCGGAGGATTTTCTAGACTCTGATAGGCAGTCTAGGATTAACCCGTTGAGTCCGATTGATTTATATATATATATATAAATCATTAATTTATATATATCAATTTATATATATATAATATATCATTTAAAATGTTTTATTCTCTTTAATAAAAACGTATTTCTACTACAAGACTGGCATGAAAATTTAATTAATTCATTGTGTAAAATATTTTTAATACAAGTTCTTGATAAAATATAAGTTTATATAATCAGATCTAAAATTTGACAAAAATATATTGTGAACATATATATTCTATGTAAGTTATCTATTCCAGAAGTAGGACACCTGCCGCTTTGCAAAGCGAGTTCCCCTTCCTAGAGTGGGAAAATTGAGCAATTTTGACCAAAATCGAGGGCCAGGTTACCGAAAATAATCAGATTTGTCGAACGACTTGCACTTCGCTGTGGTAAGTAGTAAGATTATTAAAAAGTTTTATTGAAATAGTCAATTCATTATTTATATGTAAAGGGTGTTTAAATATGGTAACCTGCAACGATAAAATATTGATGTCCTTTTTCAGATAATCAAATTTCGTTTCATTGTATCGTAACGTTTCAGGAATTCAACTACGATGTCCCTATGTAATTTCCGAAGTACAAGGAATTCAACCACAGAATATTACACGAGTTGGAATGAGGATCCCCGGGTCACAACAAAAGACCAGCTTTCAAAATGTTTTAAAAGAGAAAAGTAATAATATCTCTTCATTTTGATCCTAGAACTTCCACACCAATTTACAGCCCTTTTTCTGATTTCCGTTATGCAACTTACAGAATGCATGTCCACGCTAAGATATCTGAAAATACATAAATGCGAAACATGGACTAAAATATAAATGCAAGTATGTGTCTCTTCCTTTTGTTATTTGATTATGTTTATATATAATTGTATAAGATTACATATAATCATTTTTTTTCAGATTATTTCACTTTCGTCTCACTGCGAAAAGGTTGATGTAGCAAAGTATTAATTTTATATACATTTTTTACAGCTATATCAATTGAATTCGCGAATTAATCAGAAGTCCTGTTATTCAATATATTCTCATTTCGATTCGTTTGCGCATAATCCACCTTGATAATGCCGGAGTGATTAATGATTATACGACGACCGAAGATGGCTGCCATTAACTTTGTGAACATCAACGCCAACCGTAAAGCATCAGTATATATATATATGTATATGTATATATAAAGTACTTATTTGATAGTAAATACAATGGAACCTCGACTAGCTCATGATACAAATAGACGAGGTATAGCCACTAGCGGTTCTGAAAAGTTTTCGTCTTTCCATTAGTTCATACGACAAGGATCCTAACATTTTTTTGCTACCATTATATTTAATTGGTCGAACATTATCTATATATTTTAATCAAGAAAAACTTATAAAAACTTCTATAACATATATGAAATTATTTTGATGGAGCATCGAAGTATTTTTCTCGTAAATATTAGATATCACTTTGTAAATTAATCAACGCGAAAAATATAGGGATAGAATATTTTTGTATCGCCTTCTTTAAACTTTCACTAGATTCTACAGACTTATAATGTACGAAAAAATTCTTTTATGTGTGCCTTCATTTTAATTAATAGATGTACATACTTAGTTTATTTTTTTATCATTTACGTTCTATATTGCGTGTTCATACAAACATTTGCTTTATGAAGTATCGTGTCAAGGTATTATATAAATTAAATGAAGTAGTTTCAATATAAAAAAGTAAGTCCGTTATAGGGGATTGAACTAGTGATTCTTTCATTGTGAAACTGATTTGCTGTCATTGTGCTACTATAATATAAACTATTGGCAAGCGAATTAGAACTGAATTTCAAATCGATTGCAGGGGGCAGCACCTCTCTATAACTTCGTAATGCGAACCAGAGATGAGTAGAGAATTGCACAACGCTACGGTTTTAGGCGATACCAAAATCATGGCGCTAAATTATAGCGGCGAGTCTGGAAGTAGGATTTTGTTATCATCGCTTCCGTCGACAATGTGAATCCCGTCGTAGCCGAGCTAAACACGATGCGTTGCTTGGCGGGCAGAGATTCTCCGCTACTCAACAATGGTTCCCAAAGCAACACATAGAACGAGACCGGAAACTATAGAACTTATCAAGAACTATTGAATAAGCCTATTGTTGAAACATTTTTAAGATATTTTTAAGAAAGTGCAGTGCCAA